TGTCTGGTGATCGATGTCATTTAGAGGTTTTTTACGGGTTTAACGCAGTTAACCCTCACACAAAGCGGCCCATCCAAAACTGATAAACTTTATAACTAGAACAGTTATTCTAACTCTCCGTACCTGTAGTCAACGGTATTATTGCAATTACAAGGATTACGCATATGCTTCGCTGATGAGATTTTGAAACGCACCGAAATGAACAATATTCATCTCATCGCGACGACCCAGAGTTAAAAATATAAATAAGCGCTGCATGTTACCTATCATATTAGCTGAATAATCATTCTTTAAATTCCATATTTTTTAATAAATTACATCATAAGTTATTGAATAAACTGATGATTGAATGGTTATATACGCATTTTTGATTACTCAGTATAATCTTACTTAGCCACATGCTTGATGGTGATAATAAACACTTTAGCTTTGGTGACTAGTGTTAGCTGTAGGCATTTAAAAACAGGAACTTGTAGTTGCTTTCGTGATGAACAAATATTTGTTCACCCAAGCGTTTCTGAAAAGTTCTCGATTTGCTGCAGACTTTGCGCTTGGAAATGATATCGCACTATTGCTGAGCAAGCCATGGGAGTGGGAGTGTCTCAAAGAAACAACTCTGAGTTCTCTGAATAAGCTTCTTCAGCCCTGCTACTGCGGTAGAACCTGAATCCTGGTAACCGGAACGAGAACAGCATGTTTGCACATGTATTCTAGACTGAAACCAACCTCAAACTGCTTCTAAGAAGAATGGATTAGAATCATTGACGAGGTGTCAGAGGAGAAAGTGTTGCAGTTGTGTGACTGCCGTTGCACCTTTACTTTTAGCGACACTCGTGACATCAGTCAGTAAGCTCCATGCAGGTGCAGTATCTCACGCTCCGAAATTCGACTTTTGACCAGAACGAATTATGGCGTCAGAAAAAGCTACCGGCAGGATTTATTCATCTTTGACTAACTGACTTTGTTAACCAGAACGCTACTGGCACCAACCACTCCAACGTCGTTCGACCAACTAACGCTGCAAGGCTGGTAACCAAAAATCGACGCAGTGCTGCAGCTGCGTTCAGGAGAGTAGCATCAGGTGATGGACACGTTCCATGAAAAAAACTTCACTTCGCAAACACGAAATATGTTTTTTTTTGTTTGCTGCGTTATTCTTTTCTTAAGACGTCCTTTCGTTACTTGGCACGTATGTCTTCTGAAGAAATCGTCATAACGTTACGTTCATGTTGTGAAAAACGAACAGCAACCAATGTAAAGAATTACTTGTCAAGGCGAAGTACTGAAGTTAATTTGTCTAGAATGAAGAAACTGACGACAAAGTTGGATGAGAGATTTTAGAATATCGTTCATAAGTGTCCCCGACAAAAGCATGATGAAAGTATAATGTTGCCAATGGTGCAAAGAGAGAATGAAGTTACTCAGCTAAGAATGACTGTTTGAGTCAGGCCAAAGAAGTAAGTTCAACAGCCTGAATTGTCGCGCGTTTGCTACACATAGATACACTAATACGGTAGCGATTTGCCAGGGGTCGGTCGCAACTGTGCCGTGAATAGCAACGAGATCCGTATTTAACTTTCGCAATGTTCATTGAAGCAGTGCTAGAGTAGCAGCATAAAGATGTTAAAAATTAGTTTTAAAGCAGCGAACCGATTTGAATAGGGTTTAAACGCATCATACGTTGCCACAGTAGGCAATTGCACATCATTTCATATAATTTCCGTCCAAAACCCTACCTACGCAACGATTGATGCAGCTTGACGTTCTCTTCTCAGCAATACAGCAGTAATGAACGTATTGTCTGAATGCAAAAGTGGTTGTCTCTCGAGAAAATGGTAATAGGTACGACAGAACTTCTCGAACCTTTTTTGAGGAAGGTGACACTTTTGCTACAAATAAGAATGGAAAGAGTGAGGGCTGCTGTTCCAGTTATTCGCCTCATTCATCTTTAGTCATCGCGTAGCTCAGTGCCATGTGTTCTGAAGAGTGGATGCCGCGGGTGTTGTTGCCAGTGGTAGATTTATGATAGGACAACGACCAGCGGCAGCTTCGAGTAATTCTGATCTTTTGTGCATCAGGAAAGTGCGCAACTCCTATATTAATACTCATACAGTCGATCAACTTTTCTACTGCAACAGTCAGTGCAAATGCATCTTGTCCATTGGATTATCTTTTCTTAGCGAGACATTATATCCTGCTGTTGATACAGGATATTGCATGCGGTCGCCGGGTCATGGGAACGCGGGCGAACAGGCTAAACGATTCTAATGGAAACCCAATCACTAACCGTTGAAGAGCGACAATGCATTCAATGAAACATGCTATGTTTAAACCGCGAGTAAACTTAAAGAAATGAGAAACCTTCGAGTTTGTTATTGTATGCC